TGGAGACGCAGCGTCTTGGATGGCTTTGTCGTGACGAGCGCGGCTTTCATTCTGTCCGTGTACTGTTGGTGGTTTCTGTACGTGCACTGGATGCCCCGTTCTGCCACAATTTGGCCTGCACATGTAGCCGCAGTCAACGCGTCTTTGCAGATCAGGAGATGGGTTAACTCCAGTTTTGTGAATGGCGGCACGAATTGGTGCACGCCTTCCTTCTTCGGCTACCTGGACCGTCAACCTGCAAGATCCCCCCCCCCCCCCCCCGCCCCGGTGTCTGCAGTCTCATTTAACTCCCGCTCACCACCAAGAAAGTAATGTATTTCATTTGCCTTGCTTTTTCCAACGCGCGTGTTCTGTTAGGCACGCGACACACTAATGTGTTAAAATGTTTGTGTTGTAAATGCTAAAAAAGCTTGAAACCCGCTGTTTAGACAAAAAGACACGCGACTTGGAGGTTCAATGCGAAGTCTTAGTCTTCCCGCGAATTTTGTTGCCAGCCCCGCGAATTGTGCAGCCCCGCGAATTCAATGAAACATTATACTATGGCTTTGATTTCTCTCCTGGGCGTTAAGCACAATGACTCTTTTTAAAGCGCACTTTGGTTTTGGGAAGCGAAGTATCGCACGGTCTGTAGTCACGCGCTGGTTCAGACTTCAACCCATGCACTTCTCGGTGAAGTGGCCGCTGTCTCCTGCTGTGCCAATCACAAACGTTCCTTTGTACTGACGTCATTCATGCCAGAAGATGTCCCACTTTTAAGCCCACAGGCACGCAACGTGCGGGTCAAAACAGCTCAAAGCATCATGCTGGTCGGGCGCCTCCAACATTTTCTCCGCAATTGGCTCATTGAACCGTCCAGTTATGCTCATTAACTTGGCTGACAAACACTCTAGGTGTCATCGACATTTAGCGTTTCAAAAAGACCCCATATGAACACAATAGAGCTGGATTTCTCAGTCATGTAACGACAGTCATATGCCGAGATGCATATTATATGAAAGCACTGATAACCCTTCGTACTAACGTGCATCACTAAATGGGAAATGCCGTTACATCCGTTCCTTATGGGATTAGACCCCTGAAACAGGACTGGCCCATAGGGCATGTTCAGCCAAATTAATGAAACATCGATTGACGGTCTGAGGCAATTTGAAAAAGTGGTAGGACCACCCCAACTTCTTTTATAGTCTATAACTTTTCCAATTGACAAGGCAGACGATTTTCGTGTGCACCATTGCCTTCGCGATTAGTGATATGTTGCCTGTTAGAGTTTCGTTGTGCTGTGGGAGATATTGGCCAGTGAAGCGAATTCCATCACTTTGTGCTGCCAAAGCTGGGCTCAGTGTGGGCTATCTTTCACTTCACGACGGCCCCATGATGATCGAGCAAGAGCGCATCTGGCAGCACCGGGGACCCCGCCTTCGACGTGTGCAGCGCCAGCCAAGGTCGCCGAGGTCAGACCACTCGAGCCATGATTACACTGCTCAGAGGCTTCCACGAGGGCGTGAGCAGAGGCGCGCGCCGGTCGTATATCTGGCCGGCCGCAGGCGAAAAGAAAAAAAGGAGAGAACGCGACGTATTCCAAACAAGAGTCGGAGTAACAGCGCTGTGACAGGGGCACTCAAGCCCTGAGCATTACAATGCTCACGGGTTTAAGCACGACCAAAAAGCGGGAAGAACCTTTACAAAGGGCACTTTTTCCTCCAGTCATCGCCACGCGCAGGCGGTGTTGACGTAAGCCTCCTGAGCCACAAGCGGAGCTCATGGCTTACCCGGTCTACTCCGCTGCAACACCGCTGACGCACGCTTTGGTAGTCTGAACAGCGCTCAGCCCAGTTATCTGATTTCAGACAGCTGACCGCACCGGACCAGCCGTTGATGGATAGCGAGGCACGCGACGCTGTAACCCGACGTGTTTTCGCGTGCCGAGTGGGGGCATGGGCCGCTACCCGTCTTCAGTGTTGGTGAAATTCAGCGCAAGCTTCAAATTCATGCATGGGAGAATGACCTTGAAAACAGGGTGTGCCCCCCCCCCCCCCAACATAAAGTTTGCCGATCTTCTTTCGCTAGCGGCCGCACCTCAAAAGAAACAAAGAATGAGACGACCACCCCCGTCGCAGGCAGACCCTACTGGCCAGTCAGCAGTACTGACGGGCCACGCCGTACGCGTCGGTCCTGAAATGTGAGCCCGCTCTCACATCGCGGCAAGGCAGTCCGCCAGACACTCTCTGTCCGCGCCGCTGAACACGCCAGTGTTCCGCGCTGTTCACCAACACAGCATCTGCCTTACAGGCTGTGCTCATTTATTGAGTAAAACACGATGGACATATCATACGCTACCTCAGCGATTTAAGGTTGGCGCCTACTGTACTCGACAGTATACAGCAGTGACGCACACCCGACCCGGAACCCGTTCGATCGCCCCCCCCCCCCCCCCAACACACACCATTCCTCAGCCCACGTGGCGTCGTGACGCGTGGCAGCGCACCAACGCATCAAATGGCAACTAATGGAGATAATGCAGCGCACGAAGGAGCGTCAGCAGTTCGTGAACGACAGCTGGCTGCGCCTCTCACGTGGCTGAGGTGAACAGACCGTCCTTTGGCAGTGCTTGGACGCACCCCACGGCAAGACCCCCAGGCATGGTGTGCGGCGGCTACGACGCGGCACGAATGCGGCAGACGGGGGATATTAAGGGCGTCGGTGTTCGGCACCACAACAGTCAGGGCAACAGCGGCGGAACCAGAAGAGTAATTGGAAACCAACAATTTGACCGTGTTATACATCCAGTCGCCTCGCACTGACCTACAGAAATCAGCATCAATCAAGGGCCGGCCAGGAAACACATCTAACAGCCAACTGTAGGCTTGAACAATGCGTTAATGAACGAGCAACTGCAAGGGCACCAAGCGAGATACATAGTGCAAGACATCCTTGACGAGGTGATTCTAAATGGCCGGCAACGGGCGCAAATGCGAGCCCTATGTTGCCATCAGATCATCAGTAACGAATCATTGTGGAGTAACACCCAAAGACGAAACTGACAAATAAGAAGTTCGCCGCTTTCAAGTCGACTGTACAATTCGGTGCAATTTTCCCACAAACAGCATTTCTAGGACAAGTTTGGAGCGATTTTGCATACTGCCGTTCGCATGAAACAAACACGGGAAACGTCCTCGCCGTTCGCACGCGAAAGCGTTCACAAACAAACGAATGGCAACACGGGACTCAGGTACCGCCCAAAAGGAATGCCAAAACCTCGCGCAAACAGCAGCAAACCAGACAGCTCCGGTCTGCGGCTGGACATCCCTTCTTCGCCCTACCTCCCCCCCCCCCCCCCCCCCCCCCCCCCCCCCTGACATAAAACCAACGCTATAAAGTGTGCCGGCTGGCGCGGCCGGCGGCGGCCGCTGGCGACGGCGCGGCCGGTTTGTACCAAGACGCTGGCGGGCCGAGCGGCGGCGTCACAGCCCCTGCGGCCAGTTGATCTCGTCGAACAGGTCCAGCACGCCCTCGTGCGGCTCCAGGTTGAACCAGAAGTCCTTGTCGGTGGCCGGCGGCGTCAGGTGGAACGCCGGTCCCGCTGGGGAAGATACGCCGGTCATGACGCCATCTCGCTCGCGCCGGTCGTCGCTCGCTGCTCACAGCGCCCAGATCGCCGACGGCACGAACGCGAGCCCACAACTTAGGGCCGCGCGCCGGCGCCGTTGGCTGTCGAGCCATGCTGCAGGGTTCCCCGAGCATTTCTGATCGGGAAATGGTGCGCCATGAGCCGGGAGGGCGAGCCCCTGAGGCACGCACCTACGCTCGCTTCGGCTTTATAGCAAATATCTGAATAGATAAGTTCCAGAAATAAGAAAACGTGGTGTCGCAAGAGACAGTCAACGGCTTGGCCTTCTCACTTTTGCGACAGAAAGGAAAGTCTAACGAAGGGGCGCCTCCTAAGGCAGTTTAGTCACCATCTAAGGAGATGCTTCATGACAGATCCTAAATACGATCACATCGGAAAAGGATAGCAGGATAACGACAGCGACGTCTGGTGTCGATAAAAGGAAACCAGTCCGCACGGCCGAAGCCGGCACCGCCCCGCATCGCAGCAGAGGTCTGCACACACTCACGGGACTCCGGGTCCAACGGGTGGTCGAAAGGATGCGGGGGAGAAGGAGAGATGCATTCCGGCAGAGGCTCATGCCCATCTAGAACAGACACGGTGGAGTAAGGTTCGCCGACTGCAGTCTGGGCTGGACCGACCCGGCCGACAGCAAGCGCAGGCGTTCGACAATGGTTCGCCGCGGCGCTGACGCGAGCGTCCTCTCTCGCTCGCTTCGGCAGTGAGCTAATGAAAACACAGCGCGCCACACTGGCGACCGAACCTTTAAATTACGGGACCAGTCTACGCCACTGCCTGCGCCGCCTACACCCCTCGTCCTGTTCCAACGCAAACTGATCAGAGCGGGCGGGTCTTGTTGGGATCGGATATGTGCAGCCCCGGCCGGACCAGACGGGCGGGAGACGGGAACGACGCGGCCGGCCGACACCGCAACCGAAGTCGACACATATGACCCACACACGACCGCTGCAGCATGTAACCAGCCCGGAGGCACAGTGCCCGCGCCATACCCGACTCTCACGTCACCGTGCGGCGGCGCGCCACAGCCCAGCGCTCGCTCCGTGCCGCTGTCTACCGTGCTCACCTGAGCGCGGCAGGGGCGGCGGCGGCAGCGGCGCGGCGCCGGCGCCGGCCGCCGGCGGCGGGCCGGGCGCGCGCGCTCCGGGCGGCGTGCACGGCCAGGCGGCGCCGGTGACGGCGGCTGGCGCCGGCGGGCCGCCAGGCTGGCCGGCAGCCGCGGCGGCCGACGCGTCGGCGGCGGCCCGGCGCGGTGAGCGGCGCGGCGCCTCCGACGGCTGTCGGCACACGGAGGCGGGGTCAACGCAAGGTCACGGGCGCGAGGCATGGCGAGGCCGCGAAACATGGGAGCAAATACTCATAAGCACGGTCGGGCTCACTCCTGCAGCCGACGAGGCAGGACAGCTGCAATGGGGGAAGAACCCCACGGGAGACAACATCCTGCAACGAGTCAGCGGCGGAGCCAACCACAGCAAGCGAGACGTTTCAAACCAGACCCGCGCCCCTGCTGTGTGACGGGGACGACGACGACGACGCCCGGCTCAGCCCACCACACCCGCGTCAAACAGTCGAATCCGACCTGGGACCCTTGTCTGGACTCCCCGAGCACGCCTCCACCCGTCTACACACGGCCCAGTCAGCATCCGCGGACACGGCCAGCCGTCGGCTTTACGGCCGACGGCATCACACCAGAGCGCCGTCCCGCCGCATTGGTGGCTCCAGTGCGGTGACCGGGCGCTGCACTGACCGGATGGTGCGCCGCGCCGGACGACGGCGCTGCTGTGCTGCCCATCCGGATGTCGGAAAAGTGCTCCTCCTGCGCGCAAGGCAACACAGACATTTACAACCTCCAGAGCTGCATGGAATGCTACACCGGAAGAAAGCGGTTTACGACGGACGTCAAATGGCATCACGGCAATGCGGACTCGTTCCAAGCACGATGGCACTGCTGTTATATACATACATACATACATACATACATACATACATACATACATACATATATATATATATATATATATATATATATATATATATATATACACATATACATATCACAAAATAATCAATGGAACGCGCCCAACGCGAAGGCAAACATTGCCCAAATCGGCGGCGAAGTTACACTGCAATTAAGCACAGTGAATAATCCCACCTGCAAGTCAGAGTCGTAAGCCGTCACACTGCGCTCAAACATGGTAAACAATTACATTTGCAAGTAAAATCATCCTACAGCAGGCCGTTCGATCGACCCAACACGCACCGAGCAAGCCTCGCGAAACCTTAACCACTTATAAGCCGATGCCGGCCTGACCTGCCTGTCGCCTCTGAACGGGTACTGACCTTGATCCCGGCGAGGGTCGGCGGCGGAGGCACCTGCACGGAGGTGGGGCTCGTGCCCTCCGGGTCCCGGTTCACGTACAGCACGTAGATTGGCCCCGATGACGAGCGCATGTGGATGGTATAGCGGTCGCCGTCCATCTCGGGGTCCTGCGGGTCAGGTCAGGTCAGATCAGGTCAGTTTATCAGAACCTGGCAGGTCTTCTGCGCCGAACGCGCATTGTGCAGCCTACGCAGCCCAAACCCACGCAAACCACACACCAGTTTAAGCACGGACTGAATCACACACTCCCAGATCAACTTCACCACAAACCGTTACAAGCTCGCTCTCTGGCCTAAAATGTCCCCGCCCCTTCCCCCTTCTCCTTCGCTAGCCGTCGCGGGTTCGGGCGCGGCCGTGGGGCTCGGCCGGCGCGTGCACGCACCTTCTCCGGGGGCGGCACCTCCAGCTGCGTGCCGCTGGGCGCCTGAACCGCCAGCAGCGTGTCGCCCTCGAAGCAGCCGCACAGGTCCTCGTGCCACGTGTACGCCCGCTGGTAGTTGTCCGGGTCCTCGGTGATGTTCTTGATGCTCATCAGCACGAACTGGCGGAGCGGGCGGTGGAGTGTGTGAGGGGAGGTGAGGGAAGGGGACGGTGGTAATGGTGGTCGAACACCCGGTATTTGACACCAAAGGCCTCAGGTAGCTCCTGAGGAGATCACTGACAGGCGCACCGTCTAACAAAACGGCCACGGAAGGACGTCGACGTGGCCGTGCGCCCCATCACACCGCCCTGACTCCAGGTCGGCCGGCACGCACCAGGAGACGCTGGCGGCCGGTCACCCCTGGAGAGCCGGTCAACAGAGCGGGGCGCCGTCACGCCCGCGCGCGCGGCGCCCGCCACACGGCTGCCGTTACCGACCGCTGCCGGCACCGCCACCGGTCGTCGTCAGCCCAGCCTCAACGGTGCCCACGGGCCGCGCCGACCGATCAACGGCGGCAGAGACATAGCAGCTGCCCATGACACGACGGGGCGGCCCACAGGGCGTGTCGTTGGACGGAACGCTCTCTCACAGCGGGAACCGTCACAGGGTCAACATAACACGCTTCCCAGTGTCATTTTTCCTAGCAGGAGCAGAGCATTGATCCCAGCAGACAGCCTTCCGACTTAAAAGACCTTGAACGCCCAAACGAGGCTTTGTCTTCGACAGCCGCGCGATGGACAGAAGCGATACTAGACGGAGCATATTATTATGGCAGAAGTGGATTGTAACCCGCCAGGTAACCGTGTCGAGACCAAAACGATGTAAACTTAGACCCCAAATAGTGAAAAATCACACCACAAACAGGGATACTAAATACATGATAATGGTATGTCACGCGAGACCATCTGACTGTGCAATTATCTATGGCATGCGTCATCTCTGTGAATACGAAAATGCTCACAGCTGGTTCATACCTGCTTATGCTTGTCCAGCACGGACTCTTTGGACTCAAGCATGGCGACGTCGGCTTTCAAATATGACAGCTTTTCTTGAAGCTCCTGTGTGTTCGTTCCAGGCCCCCCTCCTCTGAAATATCATACAAAATAGGTCAGAGACTCACACACTTGTTACATTTAAAAACCACCACAAATTTTATCTTCACCTAATGTTACTTCATTTGTTGAATGTCACAAAACTAACCCTTCCTCAATGTCATGCAGTCAAAAAGAACAATTATAATCAAATTTACAATACTTAGGACGAAACATGACAATATTTCCTGGCTTCAATTGCATGGGCATTGACCGTTTGTGAATTCCAGCAGTGTCACATCACATTGAGAGGTCATTAGTCTTACTTCCAAACTATGCTGTTTTTACTTCTCTTCTCGATTAGACCGATGCCCTCGAGGACGTTCGTGATGTCATAAATACGCCTCTTCTGGTGGACTTCCAGAATATCTGCAGCCTGAAATAATGGAACAGTAGACTTCAGTTGAGGGACATGATCTCACTGGGTAGTGATGTGACCACCAGAACCTCAAAGTAGGTGCCACCTTCAGAGGCAACCATAAACCCTCTGGAATGAACACATATGGTCGGTCAATACTGTGAACAATGATGGAAAGGAATACAAAATTTCTGAGTCGCATCTATTAAAAACTTAGTCAAACTGTATTGTTCACCCAGGTTCACTCATTATCAGCTTAGAATGCCTGGAAGGCTTCCAAAGCGTCAAAGAACAGACCCAAAGGCGTGCAAACAAATCCTGGGCTTAGACAGACCAAAAATATAAGAACAGGGCCGTTACAGAAACCCCAGACTGAAATGGTCCCCCATGGATGGACATGGAAATATGCATGAAAATTCAATATTGCATGTGCTGGTTGTTTTCACAACTTAAGTGGGATAGGACTTGTTTGTTATTGCTGATGGAAAAACATTTTAAGCATAACTAAACATACACAGGTTTATTCCTCCTGTTCACATGATACACAATTAGGTCTAATGGAGAGGTAAAACAGGTTCCATCTGGATGAGTGTGCAATTCAAGAAAAGCTTAGTTGGTCACAGCACCTAGCTTGATTACCCCACTGTGGCATGGTGGGCAGGGTTTCAAGCTGCTTTAGGTCCCCTCTTTTTGCTCCCCCCTCCCCCCCCTCCCCTCACTGGGATGTGGCTGGTGGCTGCAGCTGTCTGAGGCCAGGTGACACCACAGATGACAGCCCATGCCAGGTATTGTAGCACATTCAGCTTTTGCCAGTTGTTGATGCAGAATGCTATCCTTGACCCAGAATTTCATGACTAGATGGCAAGGTCAGAGCTCACATGACACACTCTGCTCAGCATGGACATTACTATGCTAGCAATTCAAGTGATCAAAAACTATTTTTTAATGCTAGATGTTTTAAATGATTTCATCAGACATTATTTTTTCTGTCCAAGATGAAGATGCACTAGACATGCACTGGAACTTGAGGGTTCTGACTCATGGGTAATTGACCATGCATATTTTTAACTTAGGCATTTCTCTTATTACAGCCAGTTCCCATGTTCTAAAAGCAGTCAGCATAATTCAGTAGGCTGACAGAGAAGGAGGCACATATACTTAAGCTGCTTCCCAGATATATGGGAGGGACAGTACCACTGACATACAAAACATGACACATGGAGTGCTGAAAAAATGTAAGTTTATACAACACTCACATACATTATGCATACCATGAACAGTACATGTTGTAATTGGAAGAGGATGATTTAGCTTGATTTCTCTATTTTTGTCTGCTATCACAACCACTGTGATGTGGCAGGGCACTGCACAATCCAGATTTCAGTTTGCCCTTACTGTAGCTTTGCCCTTGCTTACCTCACCTCAGCTTGCCCTTGCTCCAACTGTAGCTTTCATCCAGGTGAGTCTGTTGCTATCTTTCTTATTTTGATACACAAGGCTAAATTAATGATTAAAAGTACCTAAGTCTTTGACTGATACCTGTTCTCTCCACAGATCCAGCCAAAACCCACCTGTTTGAGGTCCAAGATTCCATCAGCTGACTCCTGCAGCAGTGCCACAAATCTGGTGGTGAGCAAACTCAATGACTTCTCATGTCTGGCAGTGCTCAGAAGGGCAGCTGGATCTAGCTGTGACATGTCTGATGAGCTTTGAGACCTGTGAGTTGGCGACAACAAACTGCTGCATTAGGTTTTGAAAACATCATTTTTATATATGTTTCTCATAAAAAGCCTGCTTATATGGCTCCAAGCAATCTATATATAACTAATTACAAGGTCATGGATGTGAAAGTGATTACCAAAGAAATTCACAGACAAGATCAAGCTTTCCTACAGTCCTAGTTCATGACACAGCCTGTATTGATACATCACAGCATAGTGAAACTTTTAACACCCAAGGACTGCACACTAGTCTGAGAATACACCTATTATTGGGGATAGCTGGTGTAGCAGTAGCAGCAGCATCCTCACATGCAAAAGAGGGAAAATCTCAGGGCCCAGAGTTTGACATTGGTTGCCAAGCACTTTGGCAGATAAAGAGTGAATGTTTCAATGAATTATAAAGGTGCTAAAGTACTTTCAGCAAGAATACAAAAAAGCATGTAAACATGACTTGGATGCTGTGCAATAAGGCTTGATCTGTATTTGGTGCAAGGAAACTCCGGACTCAGTACACAGATGCCATATAAACAGTAAGAATTGTGTGTAGTGAACAACTTTGAACAGCTGCAAAGTAGTAAAACATAAAGTATTTCAAGTTAAAGGTATGTTGAAATATACATACCATACCACAACTGGCACAGTAGCAAAACTATGCTGAAAGTTGCAGTGCCTGTACCATGAAAGCACAGGTAAACCAAGTCTGGTGCATTGCTACCATTAAATTCAGCATACAGCAACCAGTTTAGAAAATATGCATCCAGTGTGCTTGATGCCTATGCAACATCAGTATACACAAATTGGGGCAGGCTGATTGTGCTGAATTTATCATTCATTTGTTTGTCAACCAATTTTCCATGCGGCTTTGTCTCCAACTACCTTGGCAGCATCACAGTCCTCGAAACATTAGCTCTTTATGCACTGAAAGTGGCACCAACTGTGTGCAAAAATAACATTGCCACATCAGCCATGTTTAGCATTACAATGTGTATCTTTTTTCCATCTGGTATGCATATCAGAGGTCTCAAATAATAGGAATGAGGCAATGGTTTTGTGAGAAATGCATGAAAAATGTCTTGGGGGAGACAAATTTGAAAAAATAAAACTGTTAGTCTAAACTGAGTTAACATAGACCTGCAGCAGGTTGGGTGCATCAATGTCACCTACGTGTGCAGTGCAGCATGCATATTTTTGACATACTAGGTTGTAGCCAATATACAGTTCCCAGACTGACTTTTGTTGTTGTTTTTATGTCATTACTTCCAGACTGAAATACATGGTTATTCGTCTCTCGTGCGAATTTTTTGGGAAACACCCTCCTTACCAATGTACATGCACGTACATTGCCTTCAGTCCACCTTTGCTGCATACCAATTATCCCACTTATCCTCCAGGCCGCACTGTCAAATCACGCCCACGCGATCAAAATTCACCCCAATCAGCAAATCACAAACATTTGAACAAACCCTCGTTTCGATTTCATCACAAACGCCACAGTTGAATTTATCGCCATCTATTGAGTCGTAATAAAAGCTGGAGTGATGACAACATTTTGTTGTTTTATGCTCGTTTATGTTTCAACGACGATAGTGAAAACATTAAAAATGTTAGAATACCTACAATCCATGTGGTGTAAAGGTTTCAAAACTGCATACCTTGACCTCGTCCGCGCTTAAATGTGAAGCATTTATTTACAGCTCTTGAGTAATAATGGCCAGCAGCTACTGTAAAGTATTCATAACTGAAATCACGTTTGCTTCATCCTTACTGTTTGATAATGAACTTCTCAAAAGCTGTGGTGTATCAGAAAAGTGTTTCAAATCCATTAAATGTTCTAGAACGGCACTTAGAACATAATGCTACACAGTTCAAAATGGCAAAGTCAGGTATTTGACTATTGAAAGTGTGTGATAGTCTACCAAGTAAAAACCAGCTGTCCATCTCTACAGTTGCAACAAGCGTCGACAATGGCGAAGAAGAGCTATGACCTGTTGTTCAAACTTTTGCTGATTGGAGATTCCGGTGTTGGGAAGACTTGCATACTCTTTAGATTTTCAGATGATGCGTTCAACCACACGTTTATTTCGACGATAGGTGAGCTCACTACTGAATTCCCGAAGGAGTGGCATTGATTCTATCTGCCGTCTGCGCCGGAAGTGTATCCGTTGTCCGACCCCTCCCCGTCATTTTCGAGTTCGGCGATCTGTGTCTTTTCTTGCGAGGTTAACGGATCAATTGGCATTTCTAGAATGGTGAAAAATGTATTGAATATGAATCATTGCTGTTTGCAATGCCTTCCGCTGCACTAAGAATAATTGCCACACAAGTTCCCTAGCAATTTGCACTGGATGGCCAAGGTGTTATGAGTCAGTCCTACAGATTTGCAGTACAAAGCAGAGACAACGCCCAATCAGTTGTTGCTCTTTTGATACCCATTTGATAAAACTTCTGTGCCTTAGTGATATTTTTGGCAAGCAGTTAGTCAAGTGCATGTATAAGTAGCTGCACTGGCTTAAAATTTAGTGGACAAAGTTAGGAGAATTTCTGGTATCTGCTACCCAGTTTAAAAGAGCATAATACCATGCATTTTCACTATCATTGAGTTCCAATTCTAAATCACCATTGCCAGCCCAATCAAGTTGAACAACTGACCAACAAAAGCAACTTAACCTTTTCTGATGCATCTTGTAAGTCAAAGCCATTTCAAACCACTGATTTCTTTACTAGAAATTGAAACAGGATGTACTCTTCTTGTGTGTTATTTGATATACTGTATTGTGATGGGTGCCTGATGGTAATTTTGATTGGTTTCTGTTGATCTAGTCAACAATACCTTGAATATCACATGCCATGTCATATGCCTGTCATAGTGTCTCAGTCATTGGGCAGAAAGCTCTCTGTTATGATGAAGGTCTAGACAAACATAGTTGAGATAGAAATGACTTAAGGCTTGAAAGAATATGCTATAAACCAGAGATGTTAACTTCTATTCATATGGGGAAGGGGGAGAGAGAGGGTTCCAGTCCTCTCCCCATAGCTTTGAGAGGAAAGATCAGATCAGGTCAGCAGGCAAGATTGGTGGAAAAACCTGCCTTTTGCATTGTTTTGGTTGCAGCTTGGCTATTATTCTTGCTGGACTTGCAACTTATGTTGACAAACTGCACTGAGGTGTAAGACTGGCATGAATGTAGAATGGTTGATACATGATGAAAGCAAGAATAAAGAAAAGATAACAGGAGGCCAAGTCATGCAAAAAAGTAGACAGATAGTGAAGTGATTAAGAATTGTATGATAACACAACATACATCAGCCATTTCATGGCCACTTAACTTATTTTGTGTAAACATGGATTTTAGCATCAATGTTTTTTATCCTACAGGTACATTTTTTGCTCTCTGCATGTTGTGTGACCATGCAGAAGATTACTATAGCCTAATCATCTATAATTCAGCTGTTCTGCTTACTTCCCACAAAAAATAAGTTACCTGCTCCCAGTACCATCTGTTAAGACAACAATCAATACTAACCAGCACCCTAGGCCTATGTACAGTATCCCTGGGTGGCTGCCCATACTGTAGTGGTGAACATGCCTGCATTAACTGCTGCACATGTGGGAAACCAGAGATACTGGGTTGGGGCTTGATTCTTGCAGTGCCTGTCCTTTATGCCAGAGTGAGAGGCAGGCAATGCTTTGTAATGTCATATAGCCTCAGCAGCTAAGAGCATTGTAAAGCCTCAGTGACAAGAACAGCAATGTGCAGTTTGTCAGCTGTTGAAGTCTGCAGATGGGCTGTATGCATGCCTAAGGGGCATACCAGCAGGTTATCTCCATGGGCAATCAGAGGAGGGAAAAGTAAACATGATCTTTTGCAATATCCTGTGAACCAGTGATGTCATGGTAAAAGTTCTTCTGGGCATCCAGCAACTGAGAGATTTTGCACTGTCATTCTGCAGTATGGTGAGACCAGTGAACCAGCAGAATGTTCAGGAGGTGTGTCAAGACACCTGGACAAGGATTGTTTGATGCTGAGATCAGGAATGTGATGGCATGTTATGTCTTACCAGCAGCCTGATATCATCTTAAAAGCCACCATTTTTGCCAGTCTTACTGATTGGCCCAAGGAGATAACAAGTCAGCCACTGCTCACTGCGTCATGGGGCGTCGGGCGGCCGCAGACCGAACGTTACAAGGTACCCGTGCCCAGTGCCCGCCCAGGCCGGAGAGCCGCGGGTGCAGCTGGTCATGTAGGCGGCGTAGGCAGTTGTGGGATGGGACGTATCCCATGGGTGCAGCTGTGCCAAAATGCAGCACTGGCAAAGCATACCCGCGTTTGAGTTTAAGCACGAGTTTGCTTTTGATTGATGTGCCGTTTTCAGGCACGCACAACTATAACTGCTCGTTGGCATTGGCGTTTCCGACGTTTACCATGTGTAGTTGTCACATTGCATTGAATGGGTTGAAGCTTCTCAAGGCTGCGACGGATACAGGGCTGGAAGCCCAAGCCAGCACGTCGATCTCGAGGTCAATCAACACCTGACGACGGCAGGAGAAAGAGCCGTCCGAAACGTTGTGTACGTCTTAACATAGCAGAGGATTGTGCTCCGAAACAAATCACCAAGCTGTAATGATAACAACTTGTCTCCATCATTACGCAAAAGCTGATATTGCCTGATCCCACGCCATTGTAGTAGGCGTGAAATGGCTGTGGTTTCTTAAAACAACATTGCGTGCAAGATTCGGCTTCGGCTTCGGCTTCAGCCTCGGCCTCGTTCTCGTCATCTTAAACTGAATGGGCTGACTTCGGCCTCGCGTTCAGTATTTTTTTAAGCCGCTTACTGCGTCTTCGCGTCTTCAAACTTCGAAGCCACTGGCTTTGAGGTCAACTTCGCTTATTAGAAATCCGAAGCCACTTGTTTTGACTTGGACTTCGGAGTTCCAACTTTCGAAGCCACCAGCTTCGGCTCTGGCTTCGGCTTTGTGTCACTGTCTTTGGCTTAGCTTTGAAGCCAGGCAGTTGACTTCGTCCCCATGCCTGCCTGAAAATGAAATTTAAGAAAGTAGGAAATTGGTTCACACAGAAATTTAAGGTTTTAGGGGAGACCATTTAAAAGTACGGAAAGCGATGAACGGCCACCTGCAAAAGTGGTTTCTGAAATCTTAACAGTTTTGATATTATGGTAATATGATAGGATGCTCACAACTTCACAATTTATTTGCGACTTTTGCGAAAACCTATCGCATGCCCTGCCTACCGAGTAAAATGAAAGGGCATGTTGTTTAGGTTTCGTCCCCTTTGCATGGTCGTTGCCATCATCAGTTATCATCTGGCTCGCGATGCAAATGTATCGAGCGATCTAGTTTGCGATGCAAATACATCGAGCGCTAGGGAAATCTTTACGTCGGCGGCAACGCCCGGCCGACGCACTCGGCGGCTGAGGTCAGCGGTTTGGAAACATTTACCGGGGCAGCGGGCGACTGCCGCGCCCCAAATCCCCGATTATCACCATCAGCGCACCGCTGGTGGCGTTCGTGCGTGCCGTTGCCGTGCACAGCTTTGCTCGGATGGTCCGGGCGCACTGTGGGCGTGATGTGCGGATGTGAAGTTGTTAATGGGCCTGCGTATTCGTTAGCGAGGATTGTTGTGATAGCCCCCAGTGGTGTGACCGCTCTGCGAAACAATGTTCGTTCGTGTTTCAGGAATCGACTTTAAGATAAAAACGATTGAACTTCGAGGGAAGAAAATCAAACTACAGATATGGTGAGTCGTTCGGGATCCCTCGTTGACCTGTTTAAATGACAGATCGACTCTCGAGCGTGTCCCTGCCAGTGGAATGTTAGGTGTCGCTTTGACGCATTCAAATGAGTCGCTTTGTGCCATTCGGCTAATGTCGCTAATTGTTCGGCTGTTTGTGGCAAGATTATGGGGCTGGGGAACAAATACATTCAGTATCATAGTACCCAGGCCTCACCCCGGCGTGTCGTGCGATGTGCGCGTGCTGCCGTCGGCCCGGGACGTGCCGCCACGCGGCGGGCGAGGCCTGCCGCCACGTGGTCACGTGACTGTCGTGGCGCTCAGGGACACGGCCGGCCAGGAACGATTCCACACCATCACCACGTCCTACTACCGGGGCGCCATGGGCATCATGCTCGTGTACGACATCACCAACCCGAAGAGTTTCGACAACATCGCCAAGTGGTTGCGGAACATTGACGACGTACGTACGGGACTCGCCGCCTTGTTTGCCGAGCTGGGTTGAGCGGCGCGGGGCGTGTGCAGCGTCGTTCGTGACTCACTGCTGCGGGGCGTGACTCAGTCCGGGTGCGCGATAAATCCCAGCTACGCGTAGCGCCGGGACTTGACCTTTGTTTCCGTGGATTGAGGACAGCTTGTTTGCGAGGTTCTCACGGCCGGGCCGTCTGGCTGGACGTGGTGTCTGCTCTTTTTTATTGTTGGCTGGTATCAGGTGGTTGGCTGTGACTGGTAGTGACTGGATGTGGCTCTTTGTAGCTCATTTATGTGCGTTGTGCGATCTTGATGCTGGTCTATGGCCTAAGGCTGGCCTAAGGCAAGTGTACGTCGCCGGCTTTCTGCACATGCAAGTGCTTTCGTATGGGTGTCTTCGTGAGCTGCACGCGGCCTCATGCTTCCATTCATGCAACATGCTTCCATTCTGTATGGAAATGGACGATTCATTGTGAAGTGAATTTGTCTGTGAGCTTTCGTCAAACCATTTTTGTCCGTGCCTTGCAATGCACGTTGTTGTGCACGCGACTTTGTTCGTCAAAGCAAAACAAAATTTTTCCCATGCTTCCGCCTGGTGCAGGAACGGGACGTAAGCGTTTGTGGGCTGATAGTGATATCGCGTGTAAATAACAGGCTGATAGTGATATCGCGTGTAAATAACAGGCTGATAGTTTCTGCTGTATGCTGCAGAAGTAATTACATGTTCTGCTCAGATTGCAAAAACCCAATGCATGGGTTTCCAAAAAAGGCAGGAGCAAGTCGTGACTAACGGGCGGTGCCACCTCCTGCTGTGAACCATTGCATTCTTGTTTGCCCTCAGCATGCGAACGAAGACGTAGAGAAGATGATATTGGGGAACAAATGCGACATCGAAGACAAGAGGATGATCACGAAGGAGCGGGGCGAATCGGTACGTACGTGACCTGCCAGGCACTGTAAGTGCCCAATCAGACCATGTGTCAGTCTCGTTGCATGCACGTTGTTCGCGGCGTTCTATTTGCGTGCGGTCTAGTGAAAGGAGCGAGAGGCGCGTGACATGAAAGTAAGGTCTTTCAGTTGAGTCTCGAGGCCGGACATGTCGCGGTGGCTGCGGCGCCTTCTTCCTGAAGTGGCCGCGCCGTTTCAGATCGCGCGCGAGCACGGCATCCGCTTCCTGGAGACGTCGGCCAAGGCCAACATCAACATCGAGCGCGCGTTCCTGGAGCTGGCCGATGCCATCCTGGCCAAGTCGCCCGGCCGTGACAACGTGGAGATCCCCGACCGGTTCCCGCAGGAGAAACAGACTCACCACGCGGGCGGGAAGTGTTGCTGAGCCGGCGGACGTCCGCGAGCGAGCGAGCGAGCGAGCGAGAGCGTGCCGCCGCCCCTAGTCGACCCGCGCGCTCGGTCCGCGAGTGCATTGTCTGTGATGTGGGCGACGCCAGTGCCCCTGGCGGCCGCGGTCGGCACCGCCGGTGTTGGCGAGGGCCGCCAGAGCGGCGCCACCCGCCGTTCGAGATTGTCCTGCTTGGTCGCGTTCCACTGCAATAGTTGTCTGTTCGGGCGCTGCGTGGACGGCGCGTGCCGCCATCGCGGATCATGGGACACTCCTGCTGCAGGAGCGAAATCTAGCTTCTGGGCGGCGGCAGAGGGACGCGCATCTCAGGATCGGGCATAGACTGTGCATTTAATGCCACGTGTACCGGACGGTATCCCTGAGCAGCATTCGTTGTAGGTATTTGCTTTACGGTCGCTGGCGCGGTTCGTGCGCGCGCCGCGCCCGCCGCCGCCGCCGCCGCCGCTGGCCGCCCGCCGCTGCCGGCGGTCGAGTGTGCCTTAGCCCACGCAGGCCGGCTGGCTGGCCGGCAGTGTTCTCGCAGTCTGGCATGACCCGACCCGACCTGGCCGAACCGGGCGCCGGCCGCCGCAGTCGCCCCGCTGGCGCAGAGCTACCCTCCTCGCCCTTTGCACATTTTAATCGCGACTGATATTAAGTTGTTTATTTGGCTTCATTACCTCGAATGTATAAAATTCTATATGTTTATGAATACATATTTTTTCGAGCCTGACGGGCGTTTGTGGTGGCGGCAGCAGACGTGGGCAGGGACACGGCGTGCCGCGGTCGCGACGCACACCGTTGCGGCGGTCGACGCTGTGTCATTAGAACATAGGACGCTCGTCACAGGGGTGGCGTGCGAGAAAATCAGCTGTCTCGTGATGGGTGGAGCGGAGTACTCACCGTCGGGCGCGCTCTGGTGGAGCACGCACCTCCAGCTGCCGGGAGGCAGCGTGTCTGGACGTGAAGTCGCCCTGACTTTAATGACAGGTGAACATCCCGAGACCGGCTCACGTGACGACTGCTGTTGGCCGCTGTGGGAAGCCACGTGATACATTCACCTCAGTAGCACTTCAGACTCGCCGTGTAATTCATAGGTGAGGAGAGCGCAACATGGCGTAGGTGGCCGACGCGCTCCATAACGCCAATCACCATCATCATCAAGGTCGCATTGTGGGCAGCCGTTGATGGCCGCGGGACGGCACCGGCTGTGGTCAGTTGCCGCCTTTCCCTCGTCAGGACACTGATGTCCAGAATGACATAGACTACAAGGCCTGAGGTCAGTGCTCTGAGTGGCTCCGTAGCAACGTCATACGTCACGCATGGCACCTCCCTTGTCGTGTCGAGCATATTGAGAGCGGGCCAGTGGTCATGCGGGGACGTTTCTAAAACGTGCACATGAGTTGTGCTGAGTTTCTCGGTATTCTCGCGTTCACCCCCTAGGGCGTATAAACCACCGCCGGTCGTGGGGTGGTCATGCCACGCTCCTGCAACACATGTGGGTGTGCCAGCAGACGAGCCATGCGAGGACTGATATGAAAGCAATCAGCGCCACGGTCACCAAGTAAACTGCTGAACAGTACCGCACCAGAGCTTCGCCGCCGCGCTGTCACCGGCCGGGGCGAGGCTGTGGCCTGCGACTTTCTAGACCGACAAAAGGTGTGCTGAATGTGTCCGAAATATATCAGGCACTGCAAATTAGCGCCTTTTTGTCAGCCCACCTCACCATGCGTCCATCCTTGTACGACGCCTTTTTCCTCGCCATGTAGAGCGGGTCCCCTCCCTCCCAACCTACTGCATGTCATGCTGGTCGACCCGTGCCTTGTCAAACGGCCGCTCCTCCGCCCACGCGTCAGTCGACAGCCTCTGTGACAGCCTGCGCCCCGAGGCGCCTGCCACCGGGGTCGATGGCCTGCACACATCACACCCGCAGCGGCAGGCGCGGTCTCCGGCCGGCTTTCAACGTGTCGATCATGGCGCCGTACGTGGGGAGCTAGGCCGGTACGGCGTCATCACGATGGAGTGCATCGTGGTTATACAGACACTGTGAGTCGATGGCATATACAGCACAGATATTCCAACCACTTCAGGTACCCAGAGCCCCCGTTAGGTTCGCTTCCCTCAGCCGGTCGCGAGACTTCCCCTGCAGCCAGTCGCGATTCTGGCCCCTAGTTCTCCGCTCATTCGTGAACGCTTTTCCCAACTTCCTGCTCTTTGGCGGACTTGTTTCCTGTGCAGATGGTGTCCGAATATTCGACGAAGCTCTTCAAACGAATATAGTACGAAAAGTCTAAAACGCCACATGTGAAAAGATCAGCCTTGCGGGCTGTGGCTCAACATGAACTCATCAATCATGAGTGACAAAATACCGCTTTTATCATCATTAGTAATTAAAATACCACCCCCAAAAGGAGGCCCGGCAAAGCTCAGCATCTACATTCCTGGCTCAAATTTTCAGCCCCACTCGTGCATCAAACCTCTCTGTGCCGTCATTCACGGGCCACTTATTTGGGACAAGCATAAAGGTGAGATGGAGGGGAGATGTTCCGTGATCGCGGTCTCCCGCAGAGGGAGCTTTTGCATCTCCCCATTTGCCACCCCTCGAGTCGCTCCGCCTCATCTCTCACGCGCAAATATCCCCATGTACCCTACCACATATCTGTGTGACACATTCCAGCTACAACCTAGCCGGCTTCAAAGGCCCCTGACTTTTACTGTCGCGGCCTAACCGGTACCCAGAGACGCAACCATCTTATCACCGGCTCCGCCGCCACTGGGCTGACCTGTGCTGCACGGACTCATCATGCGCGCGGGCTACAAAGCGACACACCAGACACCACGCATGGGGCTACCCCACCCGTGTTCGGTTCCTGGTCGTGTCTCGCGGCCTGGTGCTGCGCCATGTACCGCGTACCCTCGGCAGGGGAGCAGTGCAGCTCCCACTAAGCGGGCTCGCACGCGGGACGAGCTCGTGTCCGCGCGGGGCGACCCCATCGTGGAAGGCTCTGTCATAGACACGCTGCGGCACGTGGGGCTGTCAGCTCTCTCCTCCCTCCTGCTAGCAGGTCGCGACGCTGGCTCATAGGTCATTGCTGGTTAGTTTTTAGCGGTTATATTTTGTTTTTAAGTGTTAGTGTATTCGCATCATGTACAGCGTGTCAGCCTAAAGAGACGCTTATGGAAGGTCTTAAATAAATTGCATATGTGCATACTCACGCGCATGATGCGTACATATATGCACATACTCATGCATGCTTCATGCATATGTACATGCATGAATGTGCATTTGCATTTATGTATACATGCATACATTACACACACACACATTGGTATAATAAATATGTTATTGCATGCATGCATAATGTATGCGCACGTGCATGGCTATATATATATATATATATATATATATATATATATATATATATATATATATATATGTGTGTGTGTGTGTTGCAACCATAAAGGCCAGCGCACGATGACTGCGCAGCTCGTGTGAGACGCCGGTGTGCTCTGCACCCCCTCCGGTGATTTAGGGGGTGGGGAGCAGCTGTGGGCTTCACGTCGGTGTCGGCGTCACTGCCAAAAGTCAAAGCCGCGCGGATTGGGCCTCTGCAGTGCAGTCTGCCTGGATGTAATCTCCGATGTACAAAGCCAAAGCTCTCCGGATCTGCTCCTGGTCCGAACGTCATCGACTCTGCATGACGCCGGCGGCGCCCCACGCGGCGCTACGCTGCCAGCTGGGCTCTGGCCGTGTCCGCTCTGATTTTCGGCTACGAGTCGGGTCTCGGCCGCGATGATTGCGCACTAAATGTCGGAAGTCATGTCCAAAGCTTGCTATGTGTGTTCCGTGTGACTGACACTGTAATGATTGGGCACCGAATGTCAAAAGTCATGTCCAAAGCTTGCTATGTGCGTTCTGTGCGACTGACACTGTGATGATTGCGCGCTAAATGTCGGAAGTCATGTCCAAAGCTTGCTATGTGCGTTCCGCGCGACTGACACTGTGATGATTGCGCACTAAATGTCGGAAGTCATGTCCAAAGCTTGCTATGTGCGTTCCGTGCGACTGACACTGTGATGATTGCGCACTAAATGTCGGAAGTCATGTCCAAAGCTGGCTATGTGCGTTCCGTGCGACTGACACTGTGATGATTGCGCACTAAATGTCGGAAGTCATGTCCAAAGCTTGCTATGTGCGTTCCGTGCGACTGACACCGTGATGATTGCGCACTAAATGTCGGAAGTCATGTCCAAAGCTTGCTATGTGTGTTCCGTGTGACTGACACTGTGATGATTCGGCACTGAATGTCGGAAGTCATGTCCAAAGCTTGCCATGTGCGTTCCGTGTGACTGACGACTGGGTGGGCTGTGTTGGACCCATTGTATAGGTCATTTTTTCAAAGGCTTTCAAAATACATTCTTTTCTTGCGCTGCCATATGGCCAATGTTCAGCATCCTCGAAAAGTAGGGTGCGATGCCACCACAGGCACGTACGCTCTTACACTCTACGGTTCTGTATAAAACTAAAGCTCGCCGAAGGAACTCTGCAGCAGAACTGCAGGACGCTTGATGAGACTGGAACGCGCTTTCACGGCATGCACGTATCCCCGTCCCTCTGGGCCATACCAGCCGTTCCTTCCGCGTATTGTTTGAACGGCTGGCATCGCCGAGCGGCTCCCGAGAGCCGTTGGTCCGTCGGTATGACGTCACTGTTGTTGGTGTGACGTCACTGTCGTGTTCCGGCGCTAAAGACACCGGCCAGTATGCTGGCTTCACCGGCCGCGCCGCCAGTCCGAACATCCGACATCTCTGCCGTCGGTGTGACGTCACTGTCGTGAATATTCAATATGCCATATTCGTTTATTACACCACAAACACCGATGTAGGCACTAGTGGTGGATGTCAACGCGCCACGCTCTATACTGCACAAAAAACTAGATTGTCAATAGTGCATCAATGCTATGTTTGAGAATGTTGTGCAATAGTAACAATGCACGGTATTACCACGAGAATACAATAGCTAGAAACTACCCACCATGCACAGTCAGCATACAGTACTAGTGCAATTACACCTATAAAAATGACCTCATTAACGTTTTCATAATTTTTTTTCAACACATTTGAAAACCGCTGTACGTTATAACACTCAGAGATCGCAAATGGGTCCGCCCGTCCCCGGTCACTGTCATGTATCTAAGTATATATATATGCCACCAACATATATATTGTGAGATGCATCATTGTCGTGTAATGTGACCCACAGTGACATCCAGCAGTCGCTGTCATCTACTGACGCATCCACAGTCATCGTGACTTCCCCGCCGGAAATATGGCGTCTCGGCCGTTGCCACGTTGCCTCTGTTGTGATGAAAGTGTCCACAGTCATTGTGACTTCCCCGCCGGAAGCATGGCGTCTCGGCCGTTGCCACGGTGCCACTGTTGTGATGAAAGTGTCCACAGTCATTGTGACTTCCCCGCCGGAAGCATGGCGTCTCGGCCGTTGCCACGGTGCCACTGTTGTGATGAAAGTGTCCACAGTCATTGTGACTTCCCCGCCGGAAGCATGGCGTCTCGGCCGTTGCCACGGTGCCACTGTTGTGATGAAAGTGTCCACAGTCATTTTGACCTCCCCGCCGGAAGTGTGACGTCTCGGTCGTTACCACGGTGCCACCGTTGTGATGAAAGTGTCCACAGTCATTGTGACTTCCCCGCCGGAAGCATGGCGTCTCGGCC